CCCTTGGTATTGAATGAAAGCTGATCCGGTAAAATGCAAGAAAAAGATGTTACAGTACATTTGATCAGGAACATCAGACTAAGCATGCGTGTTTGTACCTTCAGAGGCTATTATATCCAATTTTAAGGTATCACGCTAATGTTAGGTAATGCTGGATTTTTTTATGCCCCAATACAGTCAGTCACTTTCCAATGCATCACATTTTAGGGCTTCTGAAACATATTGTATTTGCATTATATTCAGATGGTATATGCATGTTCACCAACACCACAGCACCCGAGTGAGTTTCAAACCATTGTTTTGCAAAGGAAATAGGAGTTTAGCCAGTTTGTCTGGTATTACAGTTAGGTTTCATCAGAATGTGAAAGCGCCAGAGGACCAAGAGTTAACTGAAGTCAAAAGGACAATATATGGCTTTAAATTAAGATATAAAAAGATGCTTTTAGCCAGCTACCATTTATAATTCATTTTCTATGTGCTTGTTAACCTGGGTCACGTTTCTGCATCCTAGAGTGATTTATTAGTTTCTTCAATGGCTCTGCCTCATCCCATCAATTATCAGAAAGGCGCTTTTTCTTGGTAAGGGCTGTGACAACTTTTCTAAGTCTCCAATGGAGACACGAGCACTTACACAAGTTAGAAGCATGAAGTGAAACGCTGTGTCTAGCACATAGAGACGACATTTTCACTGGACCCAAGCCAGTGTACAGTAAAAATCATATTTCCATCTTTACTGTTGCCCAAGGAAATGTGTTCATCTGTGGCTGAGTCCTCTCTGTAATCATCTACTTACAATCAAATCTGAACTGTAAATTTTCATTGATGGATTTCAGAGAGGAAAAGACAGCAATAGGAAGAGAATAAGTAGGTCAACCACCAAAACAAAAGCACAAAAGCCAAACAGATTCCCTAATGGAAAACCTTTTTTCATTCATGTATCTTACATAGGCTCAGAAAGACATTTTGTTTCACAATCTGAATGCTTGTCCATTTCTTTGTTATGTAATTACTTCTTGTCCTTTCCTTTGATCTGTAACGGAGGTTGTTTTGCTTGTCTTGTTGCCTGCAGCTCTTTGAGAGCTCGTCCTGTTTCATGATATTTTGGTGGGTGTTTGCCCTGTCCTTTGATATGCGACACAAGTTGATTTGTTTGCCCTGTCGTATGTTATGTACTTGTGAGTGCCATTCCCAGGAAGGAAATTAGTTGTTGTAGCCGTTACTTTAATACCTTTCCTAGTGAGGTGAAGTGGTAATATTGAACAGCTCAATAGGTGCAATATTTACATGTCCCACTTCACCAAGCATCTGTATTGTCTACAATGTCAAAGCAGCTCAGGCTCAGGGCCTCTTGAGGGGCTCAGAAGATAACGTTGGTTGACTGAGTGCACGCTGAGCTCTACAGACGTGGGCTCAAGCCCTAGTCAATGTTTCTACCAGACTGGGACCTTGATTGCCTAAGCAGTGGCACTCCGCTTAATTTAGATGAGTTGGCTAGAGTCTCTCCACAGCACAGCGACCCCTTTAGCCTCCTAGGAGCTTACAGGCTCTCAAGCCGAGACATGAAGAACACAATCAACCATTCAGAATCGGAGGGGTGTAGGAAAAAAACAAAGTGACAATTTATATAAACAACCTCGCAGATTCCTGGATTCTCTTGGCCTACACGATATGTGAGGTTAATCCTGAGTTTGTAAGGAATGTTTCCGAGTCCAACACTCACTGAACCATGTCTCAAGCGTGATCCAGGCCTGTCTGCAAGTGGGTGTCAGTGCTTTAAACACTGCAAGTAAGTTTTTACACAATACCTCAAGTGAAGAAATTCCTGCTTGGCAACTTACTTTCCTGTGCCAATCCTCCCAGCAACATTTAAAAGTGTAAAATGCTGGAGCACTTGTGTATTACATACACAGTGGGTACATGTGGGCTGAAGGACTCAAAACCCCACCAAATTTTTGGCCCCCGCTCCTGTAATCAGGAAAATACCTTCCCTTCTGTATAGTTAAAGCAGCAAAAGGAGAACCCTGGGGCTTTCTGTAATTTAGATTAATGAACCTATTAGCTCAATCAAGTCACGCGATAACATTTGTACAAGTGTAGAAGACCAAACACCACATCACACCCTGAGCAAACACAGTCGGTTTTTAAATATTTGCAACAGCGCAGCCAGAAGGGAGATGCTAAGTGCAGCCGATGTTACCATGAACGGAATTCTTGGCAGCTCTATTAAATATAAAAGTGAGGGAATGGGTCAGCTGGAGGAGAGATTTTAACTGAATCACAAGCCCAAAAGCCTTTTCTGTGTTCAGTTCGCCAGCTGCCATATCACCCTGCAGCCCAATGAAGCTCAGCAGGTGTGAGCCTGGTCAGTACCTGGATGGGAGACCTCCTGGGAAAAACTAAGGTTGCTGCTAGAAGAGGTATTAGTGGGGCCAGCAGGGGGAGCTCACCCTGCAGTCCATGTGGGTCCTAATGCCCCAGTGTAGTGATGGGGGCACTATATTGTAAACATGAGACGTAAAACCGAGGTCCTGACTCTCCGTGGTCATTAAAAATCCCAGGGCGTTTCTCGAAAAAAATAGGGGTGTAACCCCGGCGTCCTGGCCAAATTTCCCATTGGCCCTTACCAATCATGGCCTCCTAATAATCACCGTCTATGAAGTGGCTTCATTACTCTGTTTTTAACCCACTGATATCTGATGTGTGGTGAGCGTTCTGGCTCACTATGGCTGCAGTCGCATCATCCAGGTGGATGCTGCACATTGGTGGTGGTGGAGGGGAGTCCCCATTACCTGTAAAGCGCTTTGAGTGGAGTGTCCAAAAAAGTGTTATATAAGTGTATGCAATTATTTTTATTATTAGTTCCACCTGTAGAGGCAGGATTTTCACATGGCTTTCACTGAGGTAGCAAGCGATAGATAGCTTGAACAGCTTACAGTAGCTGAAAACGTTAAGGTATACACAACTTGGGCCACCCAGGAACTTGAAAAGTCAGTGCTAATAGTGCATATACAGATAAAGTTCATATGTCATGTTTTTAACACATGCAAATTAAGGATTGGTCTGTTTTGAAATACTTCCCAAGACCAAAATGCTGTGACTTCATGTACTCTGAACATTTGCTCATATAGATCCAGTCTTTTCTGTGCCAGGTATGGATCAACAATTAAATAAGAAGAAATGCTGGGGCCAGCACTAACAACCATGAGAGATGTTAACAACATATACTGCTTTAATCAGTAAGCATTGATCATAGTGTTTTAAAAGGCCTTTCTTCCTGATACATCTCTCTACCACTGCTGCAGATACTTGAGAACTAAGCATGTGTGAAAACTGAAGAGAATGCTTAGGCTTTTTGAGTCTTTTTTGACAGTATTAGAAGGTGGTGCAGGGGCAGTTGGCATTGCAGCCTTGCAGCAGTGGTGCCCTGGGTTGAATTCCAGCGGTGCTATCAGTGTGGACTTTTTACGTCCTCCCTGCGTTTGCATGGGTTTCCTCCTGCCGTCCAAATACATCCTGGTGGGTCGATTAGCTTCTTGGAAAACTGGCCCAGATGGAGCGTGTGCGTCTGCCTGTGTCTATGTGTGCGCTGTGATGGACCGGCATCCCCTCCAGGGTGTATCCTGCCTTGTGACCATTGCTGGCAGGGACAGGCCTGAATTGGATGAAAGGGTTAGAAAATGGATGGAGGGATGATAGTATATAGCCAGTGATGAACACACATGAAAGGGTATCAGCTTGTGATTTGAGTTGCATCTTACTCAGTAAAAAAACAAAGCTTTAGTCTCTACCAGCATGAACCGAGTATTGTTAACAGTTACTGTTAAAAGTCATTATTGTCACAGCTCAAGGAAAATAAAAACGCACTAACCCTTGAAGGTAACTATTTCAAAGAGCAACGGCTTCACATGCCCATAACAGTCAAAGTCAAAGTGACCCTTAAAACCCTATGACCCTTGCCAGGAAGGGAGCACTTAAATGGATGGCTGACATTAGGCTGGGATTTCCAACCCCATTCCTGGAGAGGCCCAATCCAGCAAATTTTATAGGTAACAAATATACCGACTGCTTCTACAGTCTTGGAACGATTCAACCGATGAATTGTGATGAACTGCAAATTGTTAAATGAAATTAAAAGCAATGCAAAACAAAACCCAAAGCAGGAAGAGAGTTCCCTAAATTGAGAACAATACTTCCTTAACCGATCAGTTTGTTACAGGTTTTCCCAGTCTTCGGAAACAAGTTGACTCCGAGTGGCCGATAAGACTTAAGAAATTCTGAAAAAAACTACCCGTTTTACCTTCCAGTTTAAGTAAATATAGGGCACATTTTTCTTTAGCCTCAACCCTGTCCTACGGTAAATGATTACTACAGTTTGTAGCCATTACAGATTACTACACTCTGTGCTACAGTTTATGATTTGCAAACAAAGCCTTTTTAAGACTGAAAAAGACCTCTAGGAGAGATACAGAGTTAAATAAGTCTTCTTGAGTCATTACAGTACAACACATGGGTGTTAGTTTGGGAGGGTGAAGTCTTTTCAGTCCCTTGAAATGGTGTTTTCAAGAGATATGCAGTCACAAATGACCGGCATGCAAAGTGACTAATGCTACATCAGCCTACCGAACAGTAGAGAAGCTGCCTGAATGCATGTGCTGCAGGAAAACATGATGGAATAGTGATGCTGTGCTCTTTTTCAGCACGGAATTCAGCTCTAATTAACCTCCACTTGTTCCTTTGCAGCTTCAGTTAAGACCTAACCATGAGAATCCTGCTTTGACGATTACAAGTTTGAAGGCCTGTACCCGTAATAAGACTAGTAGTGTTCAGCTCTGTGTTAAATGTCATGCTACATCAGCTTTATGCAAATCTGCGCTACACCTGCCACACCGCTCTCAGTGCGCGGAGCCCAAGTGGGGTTTGTCAGGGAGCCCGAGCCAGGCCGTGTCAGTGTGCAGTCTCTGTTGCGCGGTGTCCCCGTGGGGTGCAGCAAGCGAGAGTACCTGATCTCCGTCTCCACAAGCGTATCCATTTACAGCTGGTCTGGGGTTACGGCCCGGTGCCGCTGTGCGCTGTGCGCTGCTGCTGCTGCTGGCCGGGCGCAAACCAGCTCAGAGCAGCGAGCTCTCCGAGGTGATGTCACACCTGACAGGATTAAAGAAACACTGCTCCAGTTAACAGCACCTGCACTGGCCCCTGGGGGGCCCCCCCTCCCCTCACTGCCACACCCCCCTGCAGCAGGGCGGCTCACTGCAGCCGAGACAGCTGTGTGGAAGAGTGGCATGATGGGCTCGCCGCCCCCTGCGTGCGTTTCAGCCCCGCTGCCTTCTTCTCCATCGGGATTGTTCCATAAAGTAGCCACACTGGTGGCTAAAAACTTGTCAGGGCGACTTTTGTCACTAAACTATTAGCAAGTGTGGACACCCCAATCGCTGAGGTGGATGTAGGCTGAGGTTCAAACGGTAATGGTGCTAGGTAAGCCATTACTGCACACAAGACGAGAGAAAACGGTCAAAAGGGGTTTTATTACAACGACCTGCTTATTTCACAATCTCTCTCCTGGAATGGAGGGCTGTGCACTTACACAAGGGACCCTGGGTGGTACCATATATTTTAAATCTTTCCTGTAACCAGACTAGAGTACCGATTACATCAAAACCTCCACTTGCTGCATAAATCAGGACTTCCACTGGTTTCCACTGGTTAGAATAAAGAACGCGGGATTGACTATGGCCAAGAATGAGCTGGCAGTTTATAATTTAGTGTTTGGAGGAGAAGTTGGATTATTTTTTGCTTTGGCTGAGGCCAAATTCAGTAGTATGTAGGCAACACTCTCATGTTGCAGCATCACAAGCCAAATACAAAGACCTGGTGAAATACACTGAGAAGGTCCTCAGATTTGCTTGTACCACGGTCACGGCTGTTCAGGGGCTGAAGACACAGGACAGAAGTTAGGAGAGTTCCACATTGCATCGCTGTGATTTCGTAATCGCTAAGCCTGACTCCATATTTTGTTCACATTTGCTTCCATTCACCCCACGGTCAGAAGGCTGCTTAATTTTTGGCAACCAGAAGCCTATTCTGAAGGCATACCTTCAGACTGGACACGCTGGAGAGGACCTCAGTACACCCCAGGGAAAATCTGGCGAGACCAAATAACTTTGTCAGCAGATTTTTGGAAAGTGGAAGAAAACCGAAGCACCTGGCAAAATGTCACACGATCGTGGGGGAGAGCATACAAACTCCACACAGAAGGTAAGTCGGGTTACAATCAAGCCCAGAACCCCAGAGACTGAGCTTCTCACTGGCCGGAGAGCCTCTGACTAAAGTCAAGGAGGCATTCATATTTGAGTGTAGACCCTAAAGAGATGGGAAGCATTGTTCAAAAAACGCTGTGGTTTTTCAACCCATCTTCATTCCTCATCTTGCAATCTTTCACGACCACAGTTAGAGGCGACTGCAGAGAGTGCCTGGGGTCTGCCGGAAAGACAAAGCAGGTGTGGGGAGTGAAGAAAGCAAGAGAAAAGTGAAACAGTGAGGCAGAGGAGACTGTAATAGCTTCCTCTGATTTCTATCATGCAATCACATTTCCTGCCCATTCAAAGACTTTCTCACAGATCTCTCTTTATAGTGAACATCCAGTGTTCTTTTTTTACTCTCTTTGAGTGCCACTATGTTTACATTTATGATTTCTTAACTCTGCAAAAATGATAAAAATGCTCAATATATTAACTTCATGATTCTCTATGCAGACTGACTCAGAATAATAAAACAAACTTGAAGTACACAGTATTAGTCAACAGTTAAACATGGCACAGCTCAACCTACTGCTCAATACACCTCTATCCACCACCTGAGTGGGGTGGCTGATAGAATCATCCCCCACCCACTCCTCAAAGACCTAACGATTCCAATCATTAGTCAGGAATCACCGCGCAGACTGTTATCCAAAGGGAAATCCTGGATTTACGATCATGGTGAGTCATTGCTGTATCTGCTCGGTAGCGTTTATGAAACCAGAAAGAGGAAAGATCTATTTCACTACTGTACGTACATGACCCTGAAAGTCAAATGTGAATCAGAGAGTCGTGTTTTTAAGAAGACATTACTAGTAGATCCCACTAAGATGTCCTTCAAGCTAGACTCTCAGAAAAGCCCTAAATCCCAACTTTAATGACAGGGCTGGGTGTGACTACATTGATGTTGCAAATAATGGTGGATATGATCATTTAAGTCTTGAGCTTTATATAAAACAAAAAACTTGATGGTCACCTCTTAGGATTGTCATGCAGCAACAATTGTAAGGAAGAAATGTATTTCTTTTCATTCCAGCTGCTCTCTTATTACTGAGAAGGTCACAGGTGGTATTTTATATTCATCCATTTCTTTGAGCAAAATCAGTTTTTACTGTCCTGTGTTAGCATGACCCTCAAAATTGCTTTGCGATTGTGCTCACAGTGAAAGGGTTTACCTAAACAATATATCCATTAATCCATTATACTTTAATGGTAAATCCGATTAACTCAAAAATGTGTAAAATTGTGTTCATGATTAACACCATCGACAAACAAAGCTCGTCTGTAATTAAACTATAGGTCACAAACTATTAAACAGTTCTTATCCTAAATGGCAATAAAGGTAGCAGGAAACTATTGGGAAGGACTAGCAAGGCAATCCACAACACTGCGGAAACATAGTCGTCTATCAAAAATTCACTTTATCAAACCTCAAGAGTATCGCTAGTACATGATATGCTACATCATGATTTTAACAGAATACTCAAATCCCATGGTGACACCTGGGTCTCAGCCTGTGCAAGAACAAAGAGCATCAAGGCACAAGGATTTCAACTTTTCACGAACAGAGCTGCGGCACAGAGCTAATTGGTTTCTACAGGTAGACTCAGAGCAGACCACTCCAGTGCCTCTATCTGGTCCATAGCAGGACATCTAAATGCTGAGCAATAAATGCCTGCTGGGAGAAAAAGGGGAAATATTAAAGTCACCTTACATGTCTCCAGTTAATGAAACAGAAATGTAATCTCATCTAAAAGTTAAAGCGATTTTTAGACAATGCCACTTTTGGCTTTCTTCAGAAGTATTGTGTTGAAAAAAACTCAGAGAAGTACTTAGCCAAATATGATACCAATGATACCAAAAAGGCGTAGATTTAAAATGGCACTAGACACATATATGCCCAGATGAAAACAGGATTCTGTGGACCACATGTTCCTGCGAGCCCTAGTGACTTCTGAGTTCTTGCTCCAATCAGAGTAGTCAAACAATGAACGCGATTATTTTCTTAGAAGTATACAAGATTTTACTTGAAATGATTTAGCCTAAAACACTTACTCCTTATAAGATACAATTATCTATAACACACTTCAGAGATGGGTAAGAAGCATTCAATTTATATAGTTAATTAGGCCAACTATGTCATAGATGAGCTGGAACAAAACTCTCAAGACGTTAGGTGCTTCCAGAGAAAGCGTGCCTCAGACTGAGCTTAGGGCAGCCCTGAAAATGAAAACAAGACTACAAGAACTGCAACTTTCGAAAGCTGATCACCAGGACTCTGGAGAAACAGCACCACTTAATGCTTCCGTCTATGGGGGAGACAGGCCGCTGTCCTCATTCCACACATTTCTCATTAGAAAGCAATATCACTGTAACGTGTTTGATCATCACATGAGCACAGGATGGTGACTATTACAATTGAACTGCATGTGACGGTCCTAGCTCTGATCCAAGAGGAGAACTAACAGGCATGTAAATTAAGGTATATAGATCTAGTTAAGTTCAGACATCATAGACCTAGTTAGGTTCAGAAGTCCGTAGATGGTCCACTGTACTTGAATTCATTTTAAGCCTTATTACTAGTTTAATTCTTCGGTCCTGACCTCACCTTGACATGATCTAAAGACGAGCATGACTGAGTACGATTAAGTGCATACTGGAAAAAAGCTTTTATTACCAATATTATCAATACATCTATAACCTCTCTCATAGATGTCAGCATACAATCTAGCTATTGCACTCTTCTGATCAGCTCTAGACTAAAGAAAAGACAGCTCTGCGCTGGATGAAGTACTACAGCTAGCCCATGGCTGCTAAAGTGCACAGAGAGAAAGCTGGGCTGTTTCCCAAAATGGCACATTATTCTCTGTCTATCGAATGCTGCATTGTGCGGTTGCACCAGAGAATCACCCAGAGGAGTGAAGATCACAATTCCAGGACTGACAGGCAGGCTACATCCAGAAGGGTTCAGATCTAACACAGTCAGGCTGCAAGAACAAAGCAGGACTTTGGGGGAGTTTACAAAAACAGACAGACAAGCTAAATCCCCAGCAAACCCCCTCTGTAGGCTAGGCCAAAAGACCAGGAGCAAATCCCACACATGGAAACAGGGACAATATCGGATACAGTTGGAAATTCAGTTCTTACCAAGTACGGCCGTGGGCGTGTGGAGGGAAAAAATAGAGGCTGTGCCTTACCGTGGAAACTCACTGTCAAAGACCTTCAAAAAACTGTACTTATCAGATTCTTTGATCACTAAGCCTCTAATGGGCTAACATGCTGGCAAGAATAGCTATTCACTTTCCGAATGCTTTCTAACTTTGTAACAAAGTCACTGCTCTGGAGACCTGGCACAGTTGCCCTTCTGAAAAGGTTTCCTAGAGCTGCACACCACAAATGTTCAAGTGCTGATCAGAGTGGCAAAAAGCGATCTTGGAAAACAGCATGAAAGACTTCAGCTGCCTAAGACTGCCAGGTACAATGACTGATTGCCTCGTAATAGTCTTTGATCTGTGTGGCAGTTTCTGCGTTTCTATAACAATGTACACCGTGACACCTTCAAGGACTGGAGTAGAGTGATACTTTTGACAATGATAACATGCTTTAAAAGGATATGACACAAACTACACCAAACCTGATCCCCTGTCATTATCTTGCTGTTCAGATGGATGAAGTGGAAACACAGTACAGATGATTTCACCAGCCTGGCATTAGACAAACACTACATATCTACATTTTGAACTTATTTTCTCTCAATAATACCAGCATGCATAGGGCCTAAACTATAGTTTGCCATTTGGAGTTATGTCCTCTCAAAGTGCAAGAAACTCCGACTTCTCTGAACCGCACATGACCTCTATTAAACCGATTCAATCAAAGGCAGAAGACCACAGCAAGATGTGGCTTACAATCGAAAGGATTTCCCGAGATCAATTTGCTAACTGCAGCTCCCAAAGGAGACAGGGACACTGTGTGTAACAATATGAGTGCAGAATGAACAAACCTTGCCTACTCTCCAACCAAAACACGGAAATAGAAGACGGCTGCAATACAAGACATGAACCAATTAAGGAAATAAAGAGATTGGATATTACAAAGTCCAGTGAATGCGCTCAACAAACAGTTTATTGGGCAGCCCTGAGCTTGAATTTATGACCACACTTCACATCTCCTGCTCAAAGGAGTCTGTTGTCCTGCTTTAACATTAGGGGCAGCAGTGTGTGAAGTAGTGGTTAGGGCTTTGGACCTCTTACTAGAAATGTGTGGGTGAATGATTATGAAACTAAGGTAAACAAATCTATACTAAATGGGACATTTTCTATAGATGCATCAGCTCACAGGAATCGCTGCAAGGCTGCCATTTAATTTCATCCACATTAAATAGAAGAAAATCATTTTGTAAATAACCTTTTAATCACAGAAAGTTGTACACACTACTATAGGCATGAGCACACACTGGTGGATCTTACAATGACATTACCACACTCAAAACACAAAATCCTCACATTTAGCAAATAATTAGTATAGTTAAATGAATGAAATAGTAACCAGGATACCCTCTGAACCTCTTATATACCTTCAGACTGAGAGAACAGGGGGCAAAATATAGTAAGTCCATTTTGCCAAAAGAGTAATTTGCACAACTTTTCTTGAGAAAACATGCTTTAAAGCCAGCTCAACCAGCGGTCTGCTTTCCCTCTGGGTCTCTAAAAGGAGACATGGGCAAAGACGCAGCCGTATTATCCTCAAGGGAACTAAAGTCATGTACCCAGGTATCGTTATGTATACATTCACGTATTTACATTATAGTGTAATTTAATAATGGGGACAGGATTTAAATACTCCAATACTGTTGCAATTTCTTGGTGTTACAGGAAAACCCAGGCAAAATACCGTGAAAGAACCACATAAGTACACCCAGATAAACCTTAACGTAAAAGCATTTAGTCACCAAACTCTTCGAAAATAAATGATTGCTCTTCCATATACTTTGGCAGTCACAGTTTTGGTGCTTATCCGAACCTTACTATGTAAAACGCTGTAGGCCAAGACCGAAGTCTCCGAACCCTAAAACAGGCCTAAAAATTCAAGGACAAAACTTGCAAGTACTGTAGTTTTTTTTTAGGATACGATATTTAGACATTAACATTTCCCGCCAGAGATGGTTTTGAGTTTGGAATTAAAACACTTTTTTTAAAAAAAGGTGAACAGTCGTGTTACGTAATCATGGTCTTTGCCATAATGTTCCGAACACTCGCAAAACTTCGAATAAGCGAGAGTTTTCTGCGGCTGAATCGAAGCGCTGGTACGTTTAGGTGTTTTCATTCTGATGATTGTTGTAACTAGAAACGGCACACGGCCAAGACAAGACCGGTGTGCTGTTCTTTACTGCTACGTTGAACAGTGTGGTGTCACACGGGTTATTACGAAGCCAAGGGCAGCAATGGCTGATATTTGTATACCCCTGCCGCCAGCAAAGAAAAAAAAATGCAAACTCCTCAAAAAGCGGGGGAGGGGGTGTCTACGAACCTTATTAATGAGTCAGCCACTTCATTACATGTGACAAGAGCCGTTGTTGTTTTTTCTTCTTGGGGAAACTTCTCACTTAAGGCAAAGCCTTTTCTGCGATGATCTATTATTTCTTTGTCATTAGTGAGTTGTTTTTTTTTGTACGGGCAAAGAAGCCATTAACCAAGCACAGTGCTCCCGCTTCATATCACAGACTACAACATGATATATTCACTGACGGAAAGCGCTCTTGAAGTCGTGTGGCATTGAATTTAATATAATGTACATGTATAGCTAGCCACATTTAATGTCCTTTTTTCAAATTACCTTATTTTTGGCAATCACAAGCTGATTTCTAATCTTGCATCTTGGACCAGCAAACTAACCTTGGATACCTAACAATTAAATAATCGCATGATTAAACACCGAGGACTTTCTCATGTCCGTCCTTTTATATTTCATAGAAACAATTTATTCATCCGAGTCTTTCCATGGCTGGTGACAAGCAAGAAGTGTCTGGTCATGAGAAAGGAGTTCCTGGCCCCGGGTAGCCGACACAAGACGTCATTTAAAAGGGGATGGGTCATAATTTACATCGTGGATCCGGGGCCTACGATAGAGGCCTGTTGTCAGCCTGTACCTCCTGCCTTGAGCTGGGGATTCCTAGCAACATGGCCCGCCAAAAGCATCCTTCTTGTTGAAAATTAACCCTTCACTCCTGATCCACACAGTGAAAATGAGAAGTTAACCCCAGACGTTTGTTTTTTTACAACAATGGAGCGTGTTATTATCTTGGGTGTTCGTGGGAAAGACGCTGAAGTGTGTGTGCTTCAATACTCACCCGCTCCTTTCTTCCATCACTGCACATTGCACACCGCAACCACCACGGCACGATTAACAGACCCACCTTGTTAATATGTTTGTTTTACTATTTTTTGGAAGCCCCAAGCAAACTGTCATCATAAAATATAACAGCAACCGGGGAGGCTCTAGTTAACCGGCCATGTCTGACTTTCATGTCAGAGAGGAGTGTTGGTGTGTGCGCCGATGAAACAGTCAATCCGGAGTATAAATACCAGAACAGCAGGCACCTTAAGAGGAAGAGGAAAAACTTGCAAATCCAACGTTTTACAACAAATACTCACTCTGTCGGGTGCTCCGGGTCATAAAAGTCCCCCATGTTCTCCGCCGACTGCAAAGAACTCCTTCTCTTGTCTTAAAAACATCCAGTAATCCCGATTTCCCAAACCAAACAGGCTGCTCAAAGGCACATCAAACAAACGGAACACTCTGATCCTGGCCACTGGGGTTAATGCAACCATGCGGGTTAAACCCGATACATTCCTTTTTTCCCGAAAAAAATAAGCAATACGGATATTTCCGACACTTGACAATTTATCGTCCCTGGGTGTGTGTATTTTTATTTTCCCCCAATTTGATAGAATTTACCCGCGGCAGCTCCTCCTCTCCTCCCTGGACAACCTCACGCCATGACGAGATCGGCACTCTTTCCACAGGTCGAGTTGTTACATCAGGGCAGAAAAAGGGGGGTCCGGCCGTGTGTGTGTGTAGAGAACAGAGCAGGAATGTTATTCTCGCCAAAAGCTTTCCTCTTTAAAAGAGCACAAATGCTTAAACAGCGCTCTATATTCTATTATTTATTTAAAAATCTGCTACCGCCAGCATGATGTAGTTATTCTTCTTGTTGTTGTTTTTAGATTTTAGTGAATAAATTGCTTGTCTTCAAAGTCACGGAGAAGGTCCAAAGGGAAAGACACGCTGGTGATTTTTTTTTTCAATTCACTCTTTTTCTCCTTTTTTCTGCGTCTCCCTGTGAAACGGAAACTGAAAGAATATAACTTCCTACCCGACAATCAGAGCTGAAAAACACCCTCCCCCTAATCTGTAACATGGTATAAAGCCATCACCCTGCGATAAAAAAAAAAACTCGGTTCGCGTCTCAGACTACGATAATGCATTGAGTGTTTGTGCTCAGAAGGATTAAATGGATGTACTTGATTTAGTCCAACTTTATTTTTTAATCTATCTGGCAAAAAAAGCAACATTCAGGTATGTAGGCCGCTGGCGTTGTCGTTACTAAGATAAACAAACCTGCATGTCCAGTATTTTACGTAGCTGTACAGTAAGTAGTTTTGTTAATAAGTGTTGGAGCTTCATTATAAAGCAAAAGGTGGAGATTGATTAACACCGCCATGAACAAATGTAGTGGTATGACAATGTTAAATAGTTCAGAGTTCCCGTTGTATATGAAGTTTGAAAACGTTTTTCTCTTTGCTGTATTACGAGCTGATTATACATGATCGTGTTTAATTTGGAGCGTATACCTTTTCAACTAGGATCAGTTTTCTATAAAGTCATATTTTTGATCGCCGTTTACACGACTAAATTTAAAAGCCGCTTGACTTTTTGTCTCGAGCGGGTAATAATAGTTTAGGATAAGGATGTGATAGTGTTGGTACAGGTGTCGCTATAGGTGAGAATTTGTAAATGGGCGAGTCCAAATTGAGGAGACAGAATAAACGATAAGAATTTCTTGGTTTGCCAATATAAGACACTTATAAGCCTCCTAAAATATCTCTTTGGGTGGTGGCTTACTTACAAGAACTTGCAGTTTGCTCAAACTTGAGTTATCCTAACCATTGGTAGTTCCATCTTTGGTTTTCCATCTCAGTTAACGGAGCTGTTAGCTATTGTGGTCAGTTCCTGTGTCCACAACAGCAAACCTGATTCCTGTTGGTATTTCATATTGTATCTCTCTTCCCGTCTTCACAGGGTGAGGCTTGTGAAGAGGCATGTCTGCTGTGTGGCTCCATGTGGGTCAGTGTGGAAACCAGTTGGGCCTGGAGTGGTGGAGATGGGTTTCTGAGAGGCCCAGCAAGGACAGGTGAGCTTACAGCTCATTTCCATCTCCTGGCTGTGTCTCTCTTTCATCCTTTCTCCTGTCCCAATTCCAGCTGTCTCTCCTCATCTCAGACATTCCCCTTTTTCTTTCTGTTTCTCTCAACTAGCTTGTGTTGTCTAATTGTTCTTCCATTTTTTTAATCTGCTTATGCAGTACAAGGTCCTGGGGGAAAGCCAGAGAATTTTCTGGGAGGTAACGGTACAAGGCAAGATACCAGTGTATCTGGTATACCAGGGCACATACAGACGCAGACATGCACACACTTGCACCAGGACCAATTAACCTACCAGCATGTCTTTAGACTCTGGGAGGGAACGCATGCGTACTTGGGAAGAACGTACAAACCCCACCCAGATAGCACCCTGGGCATTAAAGCAGCAATGCCAGCCTCTTTGCCACCCGTCCACCTAGTTATGTGCTACAGTGATGGTTAAATGTGTTTATGTTTGAGTGGGGAGCTGGTTTGCCATGCGATAGATGCCAAGGAACAAGTAAAGGTTAATTCTACATTGAAAAGTAGTTGGAAGAAATGTCTTTTGGCTGTAGAGCCTTCTTCTGGTGTGCCACAATGTTTCTTCTTTCTACTTTTCAGCATGGAATTAACCTTCACTTGTTCCTGTTTTATGCTGATAATGCTTTGCATTAGTAAAAGTGGAAGAGAAAGGTTTTAGCTTTGATGAGTGTTAAAATGCAGTATATAACAGCTGTTTTACCTATAAAATTGCAGTACTGGGAAACCTGTGCCTTGGTAACGGCACATACCAGAGGGTGGTGAGATGACCAGTGTCCAGTAGTGTGCTTTAATGTGCTGTGTCAAACACTTGAACACCTGCAGGTACCCGTTCTGCAGCAGTGATGGATCGCTGGCCGCGGTGTGTGTGGACAGTGAACCCAAGGTCCTGCGCAGGACCCAGAAGCTGGTGAAAAGCGGGTGAGTCAGTCCTCCCTCCTCACCGGAGCTGCCTGGGATCGGCTTAAACTGATGAGGTGGAGATTTTCCTAGGTTATTCCCGTGCGGATAATTCAAGGCTGGGCTGTAACATGAATAAATAGCTGAATTTTTTTTTAAAAAGGGCAGGGCTGGGCTCGGCTCACTTGTGCTTGTCGTGTTGAATCAACTGCTACCAGTCGGATGTCCGTGACCTCCGTTTCCATCAGCCCTGGAGTGATGGCAGGCTGCCCCTGTCCACTCCTCCTGAGTCTCCTTTCCTCACTGTAGAACTTGATTTGTGAGGTCTGATAGACAGGTAGACACCTGTTATATTTACAGAGAGAGTACATGACGTTTTGGAGTATCTGGAAGGCAGGGATAACTATTGTCAGAAATAATCATAGTACTATACATGGGAGTATTTTATTAAATTATTTGCTTCAAGTACCTTTGAGATTTTAACTAAATCAAACCTTTCAATAAATGCTACAGCGACCTTCTTAACATGCTTCCTTTCACTTTGTAAAATATTAATATTACTACTGTTGTGTTTTCTTATTCCTATTATTAGATTTTTATTTATTAATTGGATGATTTAATTTGGTTGACATTTCCATTACGAACTCCCTAAACCCCTGCAGTACTGTCACGAACCCCTAGGGGGTTCATGAACCCCTGGTTGGGAACGCTGGTTTAAAGTATAAAAGCTGCTCGAAGTGCAGAACATTACAGGAAAACGCACTTTTGTGCATTCCTTTTTGGTCTCTGGAAATGGCCTTTTCCATAACCAATTAAAACTCGTTTCAAAGCTTTGCTGAACTGTGCTGTGACTTTGTTAAACCCTCGATCAATTTGTTAACCAGGGAGCTACTTTAGAAATCTCTCGGGGGGGGGAGCTATCATGCATTGGGTGAATCCAGTGAATCCGATGATACCTTGGACCCCAGTAGCTCTTCGGATCCACACACCTCTGACCCTACGTGCACAGGGAATCCGAGAAAATATGTAACTGGTCATCTTTTTGTTTACCCTTTTTTTAAAAAAGAAATGTTGATTGAAAAGTGACAGGCCTCTGAAAACAGAAGTGGCCGTTCAGCTCCTCAAGGCTCATACTGAACCTTGTCAGGATACTGTCGGCTCCAGGGCGGCCTCTCGCTGCTTGCACTGCTCCAGCTGTGGCAGGTAGAGTAGTCCACAGACTTGTACAGCTCTCTGCGGACGAGCCTGGTGAGAATCTGACACCTCTCTCCTCCAGGCACAGCATCTCGGTGACCCCCGCAGCCTGTTCAGTGCCATGTGATGGCCACATTGTGAAAGGTGCTAGATAGCTGTGTCCCTTTGTCATTTCAGGAGCCTCAGGGAATCGAACATCATTGCGGGACAAGGTGGCCGGGGCAGTAATTGGGCATATGGTGAGAGATCAGACTGCTGTACTTAGAGCAGGGAGGGGAGGATTGTGATGCTGCTTTATTATTCTACTTTTTTGGCCCTTTGAAGGAACAAGTGCAAGAAATAATACACAGGTGCCAGGGTATACATTGTTGTAAAAAGTGTTGGTATTAAGATTGTTGATCTGATTAAGACGGAGACACTTCAGTCCTTATGCCACCACCAGCATGGAGACCGCATGGCATACTGGGAACTCTGGACTTGGGCTCAGAGGACCATGGGTTGAAGATCTCAAATGGAGATGACAGCGGTTCCCCTCCTGCCTTGTGCCCTGAGCTTCTTTAATAAGTCCTGGGCTGCCTCAGCTCCTACCAGCAATAAGTAGCTTTTGGATAATGGATTGGCCCAAAGATCTTGTATGAGCTGTTTCCAGGTTAGGTTCCACAGTTCTAGGATCTCTGTAATAAAAAGGAAAATCCCATGCCTGTAATGATACTGCTGCTGCTGGTAGCAGTAATCCGCTCCCTGCACAGTTGATGAAAGCAGTGTTTCAGTCCTGCTCAGATGCTTTGTCATGGTTAGTTTTAAAGGAGAAGTAGGCTATCAAAACACATACAGTAGCTATTTGTAGCAATAGCGTGCAGTCGGTAAAGAAGTCAAAGGTGGCGGTTCGTCTCATACAACAGACCAGACATTGGGGAGGGCGGAAATTGCAGTTGGCTGCTTTCTCTGCCTAGATGAAAATGAAACCGTCTTCGTGGGGAATGATCAAATATCAATTCAGTGTGTTCGCAAATAAAAATAATGTGTGTGCTTTTTGTGGAGCAGGGACAGAGATCAAATGGATTTTTCCCGTATTTGCCCCCCCCCTAAGAACGGCTGTTTTTTTTTTTTTAAAGAAATTCCACATCCCTGTGTCTGTCTGCCCTGCGATTTGTTTCAATGTCTGATCTGTTGTACAAGCTGAACTCCCATCTTTGACTTTACTGATTGCACGCTGTTGCTACAAATAGCTACGGTATGTTTTGGTACCGGTCTCACGTGGGCCTACTTCTCCTTGCATACTGATCATGACTAAGGGTCCGAGGATCAGGAGGGCAGGGAGCTGACTGCCTGCGTTAATCTCGGTGCCCGTTGTCCTTGTGTTGGCAGGGTACCATGGTGCCCCGGCTGAGGGGGAGAGCAGCCTGCTCTCGCGGGCGATGGAGAGTGTGCGCAGAGAGGTGGAGAGGAAGGATTGCTACTGTGGCACAGTGCTCTTCCACAGCCTGAGCGGAGGCACAGGCGCAGGTGGGCTGGAGTGAACGTGAGAGGTGCCCCCTCTGGCCTCCGAGTCCGTGCTCCTCACTGCATCTTGGAGGAACGTGTGGCCCAGCCTTCTGCTGGACAGGGTGTGGTGCAGGAAAGACTGAGGCCGTGCCAGAGCAGTGGGGCTCCTAAGATACACTGCTGTAAATATCGCTCCTCAGGAGGAATACGGAAAGTGTCTATTCCCCTAATTCTTTTTGTTGGAACTGTCCTGCAGGGCTGGGTGCCCGCCTGTGTGAGGAGATCCGTGAGCAGTACCCTGCAGGCCACATCCTGTCGGTGTCTGTGGTGCCCCATCACCATGGGGAGAGCCCCCTGCAGCATTACAACAGCCTACTGAGCCTTGCTGCTCTGCAGAGGTACTGTTTGTTCATAATGTACGTGCGCTACCTGTCTGTAGTAATATTAATTGCTTACATTTATATAGCTCTTTTCTGGCCACTCCGCTCAAAGCGCTTTACAGGTAATGGGGACTCCCCTTCACCACCACCAATGTGCAACCCCACCTGGATGATGTGACAGCAGCCATAGTGCGCCAGAACACACACCACACATCAGCTATTAGTGGGGAGGAGAACAGAGTGATGAAGGCAGTTCATGGATGGGGATTATTAGGAGGCCATGATTGGGAAAGGCCAATGCAATTGGCCAGGACACCAGGGTAACACCCCAACACTTTTAGAGAAACACCCTGGGAGTTTTAATGACCATGGAGAGTCAGGTGCCTTTTTACAGTTTAGTCACTATACTGGGGCATTGGGACCCACAAAGACTGCAGGGTGAGCACCCCCTACTGGCCCCTATAATACCTCTTCCAACAGCCACCATAGTTTCTCCCAGGAGGTCTCCCATCCAGATAAATCCAGATACCAGGCTGATACCTGCTTAGCTGGCAACCCACTGTAGCTGTGAGTTGCAGGGTGATATGGCTGCTGGCTGTAAGCATTGCACAGTCGACCCGCACCACCTATTCAAGACCTGCCTGTCAGGGCCACATTCTGGGTTGTCAGTGTCTTTTCCTCTCCCCTCCAGGTCTGCAGATGGCGTGCTCCTGTTCCACAATGATGAGGCCCTGAGTCAAGCCTTGACCCTGCAGGGTAGAGGTCTTGCCAGAGCCCATGGCCTACCACCCCAGGCCTCCCTTGCGGCCATGAACTCCTGCATGGCTTCCTGCCTGGCAGGCCTGCTGCTGCCAGTGTGCAGTCTTACCACCACAAGGTAACGGGTTAACCGGCCGGGGATGGTGGCTGACATGGGGAGAGGAGAGTGGCACAGTCTCGGTTTAGAAGCCGTGTCTGCTGTTTAAATCCAATATCCTATACACTCATCAGGGGGAAGACTGCTGATGGACAGAACGAGTGTCCCAGAGCTGCCAGTAAAACGCACGTTGTCCAGACACCGTTGGAGTCAGATGTCGGTTTATTTATTTGGCTGGCAAGACGCAAAAGATACATCAACAACACTTCCTCTGTCTCATTCATGTTGTATCTTCAGCACGCTGCTTGGCCTGTCTATGTAGTGTAGCGTCAAACTACTCAGTTGACTGGCTTCACCTGATATGGGACCAGGACCAAGTATGAACCAAGTGATAAGTTGGTCCCAGGTGGGCCTAACGGCTGCCCTCAATACTCCCTAGCTGGAGTGGTGTGTGTGGGCATTGACACAGCATGGTATTGCCAATACCCTGTGCTGGATAGGTTGCCACAGAGTTATTAAAGCTCCTGCCCCAGTGCTGAGTTTGGCTCTAAGATGGCCAAACCTAAGGGTGCATTTGCCCTAAATGGTCACTAGATGGCAGAGGGAGACTGGCAGATGGCAGAGGTTTTCAGCTGTGGGTCCCGGACAATAGATGTCCACTTGACCCATGAATGTTAAGTGGAGGAGGGATTCTTTCATGAAGTAGAATAGCTGAAGAAAGGAAAGGACTTCTTTCAAAAGGAGCAGTTTTGCCATAGTAGACTGTTTGAAGTCTCAACAAAGCGCAGTAGATGTGGGGAATTTTATCAATGTGTATTCTCTTATCGGGTTTTGTTGAAACTGTTTCTAAAGAGCTATATCAGGGTTTTTTTTGTCAGCTGAACCCCCTTCAACATAAATTTGCCTCAAGTACCCCCTTGAGATTTTAACTAAATCAAACCTTTCGATAAATGTAGATAGATGCTACAGCAACATTCTTAACATGCTTCTTTTCACTTGGTAAAATATTAATATTACTACCGTTGTTTTTCTTATTCTTATTACATTATTTATTAATAGGACGATTCAATTTGCCATTGACACTTCCATCACAATCTCACGAACCCCTGAGCTCTATCAATATGGACTTCCGGAGTGAGAATACTAAGCCTTAAACATGGCAAAGGTTGCAATGTCTGGGGTTGCATACAGATACAGAAGAGTGTAGAAGTCATTAGAAGATGAGCTAATGTTGATAGAATTCATCTTTCTACCCTTTATTAGGAAGCCTAAACTGGTACAATTTTCCTGCTAGGAGTCAAGCATGTAGGGGTTTACTTTCACTGTGGGGAAATGTTTGCATATGGTGGTATGGGTGGGATGCTAGCACCCCTAGTGTCTGCGCTAGCAAAGAGCAAACATGATCAGCAGAGCAGCTGGTGACCCCCCTCACATCCACTGAGTAAGTTATGAATGAAAAGTGCCTCCGAAGCTCTTGACCTCCTTTTTGTTTCCTCATGTGGGCTCTGATTTCACATTTGGATTTGGTGCTTAATTTCTTTGTTCATCCTTAGTCTAGTCCCACACTGACTGCTTTTGACAGTTTTTAAACCAAATATTTCCCATTTTCAAAATTTGAGTTCACTGCTCACTATACTTGCCATAGTAGACCCTGAGAATATCAACTTCTCTGAGAATATCAACCTCCAGATGGCAATAGAGCCGTCACTGCTTTTGATGTCGATCAGTTTGCCAGTTGTACGCGCTGGTTTGGTTTACAACGCACAGTATCACTGAAGGCGGAGTGCAGAGCTCGGATGAGTAGGGTTCTGTTGCCTAGGTGACCCGATGTATGGACCTCTCGTAATCTGTGTTCACAAATAAGCATTCAGGGATACAGTCATTAACAATGTTGTTCTCACTTGGAAACATACAGTATTACAGATCAGGTGTACCGCTCTTGAGAACAGGGTTGATTTCCCTTCAGATGGAGCAGTTTGAGATTATTATTATGGAAACTCAATACACAAAAGATGATTGTTGACCTGTCTCATTTATGTTTTGTGCTCTTTATAAGGAAATAACTTTTACTAACGATTTCCTGAGTGAGAACCCCAAGCCTTGAGCAAGGCAAGTGTATAGGAATATCCGATTGTAGTAGAATTTGGAAGTAGAGACTTTAGACTAAATTGAAACTTGCTCCTGTTTTCCTGCTGGGGGCTGGTGGTACAGAGATGAACCCTGGATGTGCTACCTTGACAATAGAGAAATCTCTTACAGCAGCATCAGATGTACAGTATCTGTGATGTTTGAGAAAAGGATTGGGTTGTGTAATTGCTCTCTGCTGTGTGGGTATGTAGCACTGGGTTAGTACTATTGGTGCTGATATTTTCCGTTTTGTAACTGCTCTGTAGAATTTAGGGTCATAGAGGAGCTGGAGCCTATCGCAGCAAGCAATGGTTTCAAGGCAGAATACACCTTGCACTATCCCTCACAGGGCAGACACTGATGCAAACACAGACGCACACTCCCACACAAGGCCCAGTTTTTCCAGAAGCCCGTTAACCTACCAGCTTGTCTCTGGACAGTGGGTGTCTCAGGTATCGGTGCACCCGGAAGAAACCCATGTGAACATGGGGAGAACATACAAGCTCCACACAGATAGCACCCAAGGAATTGAACCCAGGGCCCCAGCCCTGCGTGGCAGCACTGCTAACCACTGTGCTGTGTCTTACCAGTTTTATAGTTCACCATTTTTTTTACTCATGTGCTGTCCATGTCCTTCTTTCTGTGCTTTTACAACAATGTGTTGTGCATTCTGTCTCTCTACAGTGGGCTCAGTCTGGGGCTGGAGCCCTGGGAGTTGCTGAGGTCTGTCTGCCCTCTCCCGGCAGCCAAGTTTCTGCACACCGGCCAGGCCTGCTCCAGGTAGGGGGTCACCACACAGGATAGTCCTGAGCACTAGCCAGTCCGTACACAAAATAGTGATTCCTGCCTGTCAAGATTAATGATGCACAACATATAATCTTTAAAAGATAAAGCTGAACTCTTTCAAAATGTGAAAGGCTTGAGTAATGAACACTGTCTTAAACTAACCTAGCTTTTTTCACTTCAATAAATGTCAGGTAAGCACATTTATTGAACTTTTTATTTAAAACGTTCATAGAAATATTTGACTTCACTTGGATGTTGAGACCACCTTCCTGGTTGTACGTGGCAGAATCCAGCTCCAGTATTCCAAAATTCAGCTTAATTGTGCAGTAGTATCACTCGGAATGCTCTGAAAAGCTGGGTATAAAGTATTCTCGTGACTCATACATGGTAATACAGGTGTGCTTTGCAGACCACAGGTAGTGATGGCTGCTTCTTGGTTTTTATACATCAGAGGGAATACTTCGTGGGACAGCTTGGCATCTTCTAGTCTCCAGTCTCTGCCTCGCCACTCTCCCTCGGGGAAGCCTGTATCCTTCGGTACGCTGCCTCCCTTCCTCACTCCCAGCGCCTCAGCTCTAACCACAAGCACACACTGCCTCCTACCATCTGTCCCATCCTGACCTGCGTTTGACCCTTGACCTCTGTGGGCCTACAGCACTACAGCAGAGCTGTCCTTGCAGTAGCTCGGGGTGACCAGGACGGCTCGTTCCTGTCAACAGCACCAGCGGTTTCACAAAAACTGAGACTTGGCCACCGCTGTGTCTCTTGGAACCCTTTCCCTCTTGACTTTTGGACAGGTAACCACACCCCCTCTTACTGTAAATGACGGCACTAATTTCATTTTTTCACTGCAGGTTGTTTCCTTATGAGAGATATACAAAAATCTAGCACTCTAGGCTGGATAAGTCTTTGCCTATAATTAATTTAAATTGTTCAACACACCTATTACTGGATGTGGGAAATGTATTTCAAAATGAAATAAAAATCCTTAGTCACATGGAAGATATGCAGGCATTGATCAGTTTATGGTTGTGTAAAGCGCAGAACCATTGCCCTAATGGGTGGCTAGTTTTAGGGTTAGGGTCATGATTGGTTTGAGAAGGTAGAGTTTGGTTTGGAGTATTAATTAGCCGTGTTTCATTTGGCGACGAGTCCCATCTAGAGTCCCTTTCAAGGAAAAGCACCTTTGCAAAGTACTGTGCATTAAAACCAATTTCGGGGAGCTGCAGTGACGGGGAATGGGGTGTACTTGTCCAGGGGTGTGCGAGCGAGGCTTGCTCGTGTTGTGATGGGACATGCCGTGTGCTTCCAGACCCCCGGGATGAGCCGAGCCCTAGCCTCTCCTCGCGCTCGCTCACCGTCTGCTCCAACCACAGCAGCGTGGAGGATCTCCTGCAGCGCGTGGGCCAGCGTGCCCAGGACATGCTACGTGCCCGCGCCTACCTGCACTGGTACCAGCGGTACGGCTGCGAGCCGCACGACTTCCTGCAGGCGCTGGACACCCTGAGCGCCGTCACGCGGGAGTACAGCGCTGGAGGGGAGCAAGGCGGGGAAGCGGACGCAGAGTGGCGGGGCTAGGTTGTGAACGGGATGAAAATGACTCTTTTTCCATGACTTTACAGACCGATTTAAACAAGCTCGTCGTTTTTTTTTCTCCTTCTCTGAATCGGAGTGTGCTGTGAAATCTTCGCTTCTAGGGCGAGATTTTGTACAAAGTAACCCAGTGCCTAAAAGAAAAAATACTTTTCCAAGCGCATTTTTTTTTTCCAGGATGAGTTCTCTCCTGCTGTATCTTCGTCTTTTTCGAGCTCCCTCTTCTCTTCCCCTAAGTGACTCCTTTCTGTCCGGTTGCCCTCCTCGTGTTCTCCGCTTCTTTCTCTCGATCCATTTGTATAATGCAAGATGTATGGTTAGGGAACGTTCTTCATTAAAAGCCTGAATCAAACAACGTCACGAGCTCTTTCTTGAAACTTAATATTGGAGGGTGTTGTTGTTTCTGATCTGTCCCCAAGACCGTCCTGGAGTCGAACGAGTATCAACAAGTGAAGGAGGGTGCTGAATGTTGCGGTTTAAGGTGGCAGACGAAGAAGGACGGGGTCTTCTGGGTGCTGTGCTCGGCTTGGGAACGGTGTCGGAGTTCGGAAGGATTAATGAGCGGCAAGACAGTGCAAGAATTTGTAGAGTACTCTGTAGTATAATAGGAAATGTGGGATACAGGAAGCCAAAGAAAACTGGATACAATAGTACTTAGTACATGTAGAATTCTAGCTGCGTAATTTTTAACTGTAGCACTTGGGCATCAAAGCATAAATCTAGATCAAAACAACTGTTTTCAATGAGTTGCTGAAAGGCGGGCTACAAATTCCCAAAGGTGTTTTATATAGCTTATGATGCTTAAAATTGTCCATGACCTAATGCACATAGCATCTGTGTTGTTTATATTAAACTGAGAATATAGATAATTTGGTTTTTATATGCGAGACAAATCGTGTTGCTGGTGCCCTTGTGTAAGCATTAACACTGCTTTAGGAACTGCCTTGGGTTTAACAAAATGCATTTACAGATCGTCATCATCTGCATTAATTCCCCAAAAGCTAACATGGATATCCAAAAAAGAACCCTGTGGTACTCCAGAGCTGAGCTTTGCACAATTGGGACAAATTCAGATATTGTGGCAGTGAGATAAAAACAGAAGTTAATAGAAACGTTAACAGAATATCATTATCAACGGTGTTGAAAGCTGTTGATTAAATCTTTAAAAGCAGAAGGGAGCAGGAACTCTCATCACATTGAGAACACCATGTAAGAAGGTGTCAGAGCTGCTTTGTTTGAAAGCTGCCTGAAATTTCATAACTCAGAAGCTCCTGGAACTATGAAGGAACCACAAACTTCAAAGGCAGGGTACAGTTAGAAGCATTTGGGAACAATGCATCCGTTTGGGAGATTTGAAGTACATTTGGAAGCATGCAGAAGCATGCGTGATGATATGGGAGAGCTTTTTAGAACACTGGAGTATTTTGGGAACATTACAAAGCATTACTTCTAGAACATTAGGAAGCAGATGAGATCATTTTCCAGCACTGGCAACTTTGGGGAATACTTCAGAACATTTGGCAGTGTTTTGCAAGAGGAAGAGGAAGGTTAAAAATAGGACAGTATGTGGGAAAACCACTGGGGAAACTGGCCTTTTTCAAAATATGCAAAAATATGGTTTTAAAAGTTGGGGAACAGTACCGAGAATAAGCAACAGATTTACAACATGAATGAGCAATTCAAGCTGAAGTGACTGGAGGGATGGAGAGGGGTCAAGAGAGCATGAAGCTGTCCTCACAGAGACAAGTGCACCAGCATGCTCTGAGAGTGTTAGGGGTACAAACAGAATGTAGAAACTGGAAGGAGATACCTTGGGGCATGAAGACTAGTAAATGTTGTGGTTTCCGTGGTATAAATGGCAGATGAAAATGGTAGAATTGTCTGTCCAAGTAGTATCCATAAAATCTTGATAAATAGCATCAGAGGAAATAAGATTAGAATTTAGTGTAGGATTTAGACTTCTTAGTAGTGGAAAAAAAACAGTTTTCCTTGAATATCCTTAATATCCTTCTTTCCTCCTCCAGCCCCCTCATCTCCCATCCATTTCTCCTATCTCCCCTTTCTTTTCCCCTCTCTCTCCTTTCAGGTTAGCATTATTGACAAGACAGTATTGTATATGGCCTTTTAGAACAACTGGCACAGTGCAAACGGCGATGAAAAAAGGAGCACAGTACACTCTCGCTCTCCCTCCCCCGAATTGCTCTTTTCTATTTGTTGCCATTGGCCCCAGCTATACCCGCTTTCCTAACTAGAAGCCCAGTTAGATACTGCTGGGACATCCCAGCCTTCTGTTTTTCTCCCTGTCTCTCCAACATTAAAGATTGCAGTAATTAGGTCTCTGGGTGTCGCAGCAAAAGAGACACACATCATCTCTCCATGTCTCCCTCCATACCTGTCTTCTGCATCTCTAACAGGAGGTGAGAGGCAGTGAGCTTTCCCCATTTCTGCTCTTTTTGAGTAGTTCTGTCAATTGCTAGCAGGGGACAGGCTTCAATTATAACTGGGTGTCATGGAAATTTTTGCATTTAATTACAAAAATGGTCTTCTTTTCTTGCCTTTTTAAAAAGCTCGCAAGCTGAATCTTATTTTGAAAGATAGATGCAGGCAGGCAGGAACGTGACATCATGTTGTAAGCGTATTCTGAGCCCTTTCCACTGTGGCATGAGCCCATAGTCAACATGTATGGTAAAGGCAATGTGATCCCTCCACTGTCATTAACCTGCTCTATCACAACTTTTGGGTCAGGACTTGATCAAGATGCACCTGTTGCTTTTGTGTCGCCTGGCCTCATGGTAAACATGTTCACGCAGCTTATTTGTTTTTAAAAAATTTTGTCCAGAAGCCATAAGTCATGTGCTTGTATTTCTTTTCTTCAACTTCCAAATCCAACCAGAATTCTGCGGCTACATTGTAAAGATCTAACTCTAGAGCCAATCTATTATTTTATTTGATCTCCTTGTTTCTTTAGATCTTTGGGTAATTTTGCTTGTGCAATTACTCCTGCAGGGTATGTTTTCCAACAAGTAAACAACTACAGCACACAGGCTTTTAACCAGTCTCTTTAACTTGCTCGCTGATATTTTTGACTGATCAGCTATTAATAAGTCATCAATATATGAACAGATACTAGTGGGAAAGGCAGTGAATCAGAATCTCACACAGTGAGTGGTTTTATTCTACTTCTACTTCGGTCCAACTGGCCACATTTAACTATGGCATGTGAGTGAGGGAAATCCTGAAAGTAAAAACAGGGTAGTTACCAATTATATAAATCCCAATGAACGTTTTAGGAGCTAAAAACCAATATAAAACTATGCCCCAGAAAACTTAATTCAATTAGTCTATGATTAGGAATGTGGTTGGGCAAAAACAGAGGACATATCCCTCACACCAGCAGTTCAAAGCATTTTGTGCTCTTTACACTCTGAACACTAGGTTTGATGAACACTTTTCTGCTGGATCTAAAGCTAGTGGAATAGTTAGGCCATACATTTGCATTATTTTAGTAAGTTAGTAACTGAACTTTAGTAAGTTAAACCAAACTTGTTTTTACAGATTCTGGAAAGAATATGTGATGTTTGTGGGAGAGGTAAATGTCATATCTGTCCAGTTTTGTTCAATAACACAAAAATGAGAAGCAATGCTGTCTAATACTCCATTTAAACATACTTATAGCCTACCATCCAGTGCATACAAGTCTGATCCATAATCTGCCCTAAACACTCATGTGCTAATCTCAGCTCCCTGCAAGACCCTGTAACTGCCAGAACAATGTCTTCTGATAGGGAAGGGTCTATCAGCCACCAGCAGAGATGGGGTTTTATATATTTATACGCCAGCAGCCATATCACCCTGCAACTCACAACTGGCAGCCCACTGAAGCTCAGCAGGTGTGAGCCTGGTCAGTACCTGGATGGGAGACCTCCTGGGAAAAACTAAGGTTGCTGCTGGAAGAGGTGTTAGTGGGGCCAGCAGGGGGCGCTCACCCGCATGTGGGTCCTAATGCCCCAGTATAGTGACGGGGACACTATACTGTAAACAGGCGCCGTCCTTCGGATGAGACGTAAAACCGAGGTCCTGACTCTCTGTCGTCATTAAAAATCCCAGGGCGTCTCTCCAAAAGATTAGGGGTGTAACCCCGGCATCCTGGCCAAATTTCCCATTGGACCTTACCAATCATGGCCTCCTAATAATCCCCATCTATGAATTGGCTTCATTACTCTGCTGTCATCCCCACTGATAGCTGATGTGTGGTGAGCATTCTGGCGCACTATGATTGCCATCACATCATCCAGGTGGGGCTGCACATTGGTGGTGGTGGAGGGGAGTCCCCTTTACCTGTAAAGTACTTTGAGTGGAGTGTCCAGAAAAGCGCTATATAAGTGTAAGCAATTATTATAATATACTGGTGGTGCTTGTAACAATGGAGACTGCTGAGATATCTCTGGGAAGTATAAACCAATTTACACTTGCGTATCCCAGCAGGCATGTTACGTGAGAAAGGGCATCTTTTGTGTACTTTTAAAGAAGTCAAGGCAACATTTTTACAGATAATGCCTATATCAAGCAGTTTTGCAATAAACCCGTCTGCTGTGTGGACAGTGCAGTATTAAATATCCAAGTTCACTCAAATATGTAAATAACCAATACAAACATAGCACTCAAATTGGCCACGTGCTGGACCTGTAATCCATGGCTTTAAATGAGCAGGTGTCTAGGATTTATTGGAGCTCTGATAGGGCTGCAGGCACATACAATAGCAAGTTGATTGCCTGTGAGCACAGAGAGCTGAGAAGCCACAGAAAGTAAGTAGGAGATTTGCAATAGTACAAACAAATAGGGAATAAGGTACTGAGGTCTGTAAATATGTATAATTGAAGTACGATATATGAATTATCTGGCTTTCTAATTTATGCAAGATACTACAGATAAAATTGCTTCTAAATGTGTATGATCTTTACCAAATTTCCTGTTTTCTGTATTGCAGGTGACGATCCAAATGTTAAAAAGGTGTTAGTAAATACAGGAGGAGCACTTAGAATAAAACTCCAGATTAAATTAATTTAGGTTTTGAAAATAAATCTGTTTTCCTGCAAACATACATTTCTGCTGTATATTGAAAATGCTATAATCAGACTCGGGCCTGAAAATTGTTGTCTATTATTACAAAGTTTGTGTGACTAAACGTGTGCACAGAACAGGTTTGGAAATGGAAACTTTAAAGGTGGGAAGTGGGATTTTTACATTTGGAATTAATTGCATGGATGTTGAAGATGACAAATGATAGAATACTGGGATACAGCTACTAAAAACGTAACTATTGCAACTGTTATTACTGCTGTTATGAGCACTGCTGCTTTTGCCAGTACCATTGTTTCTCATGCCAAGTGCCGATGCAGTGTTACTCACTGCTGCCAGTGTTGGTGTTAAACCATCAGGACGAAGCTGTGCATGCTCTGGGCTCTGCTGCTCCTGACCAGCCTGGTTCCCACTGAGACCTGTGAACGTCTTCCCAATGGTAAGCACATAACTAAAGCTGTCTCCAAACAATTGTATTTGTGATTGTGCAATTCCCCGTTTTTTGTTTCAGCTAAGTTTGTGTTATGTACTGTACAACACAACTCAATCTCTCCTATAATACTCCTTCTCATACAGGCAACAATGCTGAGTAGTTGGGTCAGCTCATCAGCAGTTAACAGGGGAATCAGGGAGTTGCCGTGTCTCGTGGCTGACAGCTTTCCCGGTATTTCTCCAGCAGAGCAGAATGTGGCACTGTACGGCCGCCCAACCCAGTCCTCGGTGCTAGAGCTGGGGCAGGCCATTAATGCAGTGGACGGAAACACAGAGTCAGACTTCAACAGGGGCTCTTGCAGCAGCACGCGCCTGCAGAACTCTCCCTGGTGGAGAGTGGACCTGCTCGCTGAGCACAACATCTCCCCTCTCCGCATCACAAACCGGGACGATGACTGCTGCCGCGGCTGGCTAGCGGGAGCGCAGGTCCTGGTGGGAAACCACCAAGACCATAACTGGAACCAATGGTGAGCATTACCACACTGACAGCGAACACACAGTGATTGTTTCCAAGTGATGCAATGAGTCTGTGATGACAGGGCGTGCGTCTGCAGTCCAGAGCTGCAATAACTGGAGTCTCCGCTGCCCGCCATCCGCACGCAGTATACCTCTCAGAGTGCAACATAGCCTTCTCTCTCTAGGACCACCAGCAACACCGCCCTTTCCTCAAGACTGCTCGTGCCATACTGTGGTTTTATCTGCACGCTACCACTCAGCCCTGAATGACAAGAAAAAGGATTACAGCCCTTTTTCTGTTCAACAGCAATAGCCTGCTCCACCTTTCTTCCTTAAGATAACAAGCTCTGAACACATCTCAACTTTATCTCCGGGCTGCAAATGGCAAGATGCCTGCAGAACAATGTGCCTGAGATGTGGATTAGGAGTGCACATTCAAACTGCAGTCATACAGTATGCTGTTATCCTTAGCAGACCCCAGTGATCTCTACGGGTCCTGAGTGTTTGTGATCTCTGTGCAGGTGTGGAGAGATCTCATCAGGGGGCCAGGTCGCTCGGGAGTTCTGCTGTCTGGGGATGATGGGCCGCTATGTTTCCGTGACGCATCACAACGTGAACAGGATTCTGAGCCTGTGCGAGGTGGAGGTGTTTAGGGTGCCAGTCAGAGATGAGAACTGCCCCTAGCAGTGAACCTCTCCCTCACGCTGGTCTTGAGCACCGAGAGAAGATGTGTGCATCAGTAGTGAAGGAAACTGGCAGCATTTTCTAAAAGGTGTTGTAGTCTGTTGCATTGCACTGTTTTAGCACAATCACATGTGCTGAGTTTTTATGTTGTAATAACATCAAATCAAAGGATTAAAGAGGTTGGACACTGGCATTACCCTGCCTCTGGAAAGTCTGTTATTTAACCTCTCATATTCTGCTGGGTTCCGAACTGTGGCAGAGAAAGAGAGCCCAGGGTGTGTGAACCAACAAGGAAAATATCGATTGGGAAGTTTAGTTGGCATGTGAGCTGCAAAGAAACAGGCAGAGGTTGATCTCTTCTAGTTTTTAGCTTTTTAAAGAAAAAGTCAGAAATGCAGCTGAAAATACCTTTTTGTATGACATTTTTGCTACTCACTTGTGTGTAGTGGAAATTTTACGAGCAATGTATTTAAAATAAAATGATGGAATCTTTATTTTTTTTCTGTAGTGGCACAGATGGTCACCTGGTGCACTGAGAATATGCTTAACAGTGAACACAAGAATACAAGAATATTCAAAACACATGCTGCTGTTCTGTCAACATTATCCTTCTAATATATAGATGGGATTATATCATGATATTATTAGCATAATGTAAACTAATAAATATTGAATGCCTGTGTCCTCGTGATTTAATCAATTATTCCCTTAACTGTAATTGTGACTTTTTTTCTTAATCTTCATTATTCTCTTAAAACTATTGCTATGTTAGTTTCAACTAAATCATGAAGCAAGTGGAACTGTAGAAATTTGTGGGCAGAGACTATCTACAATACGTAAATGACGCTTAGGCTAGGTGAACTACAAATAAATAAAGACAACATAATTCAATAATATACATTTATTGACTGATTTCTTCTACAGAAATAAATTCTGATTGGTTCATAGGCAAAGTGGATCCTTACCATTGCAACATTACCTAGAAATCTATTAGCTTAAGCTGTTGGACCTCCAGTGTGGAGCTGAAGCTGAGACTCTGCATCAGTCACAGCTGTGGCCGAGGCAGGGTGACATCAATGGGGTAGAAAGCAGTCAGCAAGGCTTCGGGAGGGCTGCGGAGCTTTGTCACAAGGACAAAGCTGAACTTCTCGGTTCTGGCTGCACTGAACTCAGTTTTGGAGTATTGGGGGCCATCAGAGGGCCGCACCAGGATCAAGTACCTAACAAAAGGTGGCAAAAGAGAGAAAGAGAATGAGTCCTCTTTCAACAAGATGTTGGGTAATTCAAGTCGAATCATTTTACTATGTGGTCTGTAAAATCTGAATGATTGTATTGAGTACAGTACACAACAATGAGACGGTCACCATGCTTTTTCTCATGCTTGGTTGGTATAATACAAAATAGGGTACTAAAAACATCTATAAATATAGGTTAAAAAAAACGAAATATGCTCCGTTTGCCCCTAGTCCTGCTTTGATATTGAGCTGCACCATTATATGATGCCCCACTGCCTGTTTCGTAAAGCGTCACATGGGTGTGAGAGTTTAACAGTCTAAGTATCAGATTGAGTCTTTGTGCTGCCTGTTGTGGTCAGAAAGGAAGTGGGACTCCTGCAAATGCAAGATAATATAAGTCTGAGGTAAGAAAAGAGCATCATAATGAAACCTTGACAATCAAGCACGGTTGATGATTTTTGCACAACATTTCCTCAAATAGAAATCAACTGTTATCATGCCACAGACTTGACGGTAACATTGGGCTAAACGGGCTGTGAATACATATAAGGGTAAAACATCTATGAAGATGTTTTCATTATCATTTGACTTCATCAGTGCAAAACAGTTTTGTGATCTCCCCCCCCACCCCCCACCCGATGTGTCAGAAAATTGGACACCATCCAATGCCCCTGATTTTTTAAAAAGAATTAAATTCCTTTCTGGACTGTAGCCTTCAAAGGCTGGAGATCACGACTCTGAAGTTTATAGTCAATCACACATTACCGTAAGTCTATGCCATGTTGCTTCTTAGCAGCATAAGGAAACAGAGAGCTTTTCAGAAGAAAACTCAACAAGTTATTCTGCACTGTACCTCTCATTCTGCAGCAGCTTTTTGTTCATAAGCTGATCCATCAATCCAGCCTGTATCTGATTCATCTGATTCTTCACTGACTCAGACACATCTGCCTCCATCATGTTGATCACCAAGGGTTTACCAAACCTGGAGTAGGAGTAGGACATTGATTAGCCACTGCAGTTCTCTCCACAAAGAAAAGTCTTTGGCCCACCAGAATCTAGAGTCTTTCCCACCCCATAGTGTGTTAGTTTCTGTATCTAGGTATCCCTCTTCCTCTTGCTTTACAGCTACATTCTCCCTCAATTTTCTCACCAATATCACCTCCTGCCCTATGTTCTCTCCTCCCTTTTCTCTGTCTCTTCTCCCACCTCACTCTGTTCCCCTCTGCTACTCATCCCTGTCTCTCAATCTCCTCTGCCTTCATCTACATTTTCCCTTTTTTTCTTTCCCTCTGTCCTCTCTCCTCCTACTCCTTACCCTTCTCCCCTGTCTCTCACCTGATGGCACCCAGCAGTGCCACTCGCAATACCTCAGGCTGCATGTGTTCTGGATTCAGAGCATCCAGGTAGTTTGTGTCTCGGTAGCGTAGGAAGGTGGCTGCCTGTCCTGAAGGATCTATGAGCAGAGGCCAGCTGGAACCAAGGACAAATTTGTGGACTTAAACTGTCTCTATGCAAATAGATGCCATAAATCCAGTCGAAGTCAAAAGCATTCAACTTCCTCCAAGCTCTCAACAACAAGGCTGGGGTAGGCTGCTCCACACTCTTACAACTCTTTGTGTACAGAAGTTCCTCCTGTTCTCAGTATTCATGACAGCTGGTTTTTAGTCCTCATTTAGCTATCTTTGATTAGAATCTTCAAAAACATGATCACAACAACACAAGCAACCAGTATGAAGTGTTGTAGCAGCTAATTCATCACATTAACCTTTTTGTTGGGATCAGCATTGTGCATTGACCACTGCAGGAGTTTGTGGGACAGTTTGGTAGGGTGTACAGGATAAAATAGCAACACAATCAAAACCTTTATACTAAGCCTAAAGTGTTTTAGTACAAAATGTTCTATGTTTGTTGCCACCACTAGATGGTAGTCCTGTTTCACCATCCTGGTGGTATCCAATGTTCATGAACATACTGTACATTAGTTTATATTGTGAACAATTTCTTAATCTAAAATGTGTTCACATGTAGCATGAATTCACTTTAGTTTTTAAGTAAATCCTTCATGTTATTAATTTTTTTTTAAACAGAGAACAAAACGTAGGAAGCTATGACCTATAATTTTGCACCATTCCTAGACACAGGAGATTGTCTCAGAAAGGACAATCAGACAATTAAATTTATAATGAGCAATCACCTGATCAATTTAATAGCATGTGTGTCCCTCATCTTTGGTGAAATTCATTTTAAAACATTATCCAGAGTTGAATTACCATTACTGAATTATCCATAAATGACAGTTGTTACATTTCTCCCCACATTGAAATAGGAAATCTTTTCCTCTATAATAGTCAAGGAATGTCGCTGGGAGGCAGGTTTATGATAGAATAAAACAATTATATTGTGAAATATGTTTGCTTATTCTGTTGTGCTTTAATGTCACCCAGCTTAACTTCTATTAAATAATATAGTAACATACAAAATGAGGTTAATAATATCCAAATCAAACAAATGACACTGATGTTGGCTAATTATTTTAAATGACTCTAAGGTTAATGAAACAGGTTTTAAAATAAGAATTGTCTAAATTGCTGGTCCTGCTGCATTAGATATAAGGTCTCCTGCGACCTATGACCCCTCACCGGCCATCTTGCTGGATCCTTCCCCCAACGTCTTTGAGCAGAACATCATCCAGCTCACGCACCAGACAGTGCACTGCACCGCGCTCTGCGACCGCACCTGAGGGTCAGATTCCGGGGGTCACTGCACAGGGTCACTCGTGCACCTCAACAGTGCGCTCGCAGAATCACTCACAGAGGGGGACATGACAGATCGTGAAACTGCTGCACCGCTCAGGTGCTACACGAAAGGCAGTCACGTGTTTTGGAAAAGTGGCAGATGTACTGGACCCTGTGTACTGGGAAAAACCTGAAAGGACATTTGAAATAATCTATGTGCCCTAACGGTGTTTTCAATCAGTTAGTGAGGAGCTTGCGTCAAATGAGAACGTGATGAAATGAAAATTGCAGCCTTGCAGTACTGGGGTTATGTCACCCTGATCTACAGTGCTCTCTGATCTGATTTCTTGAGCCTCCCAATGCCTGGACAGTCGCTTTCTGTATCTCGTGGCTGTCTGGGTAGCCCCACCTTCCCCTGCCTGCTCCCTCAGCTCCAGCCGCGCCAGGGAGAGCTGCTCCTCGGCTCGCTGGGCCTCCTCTCGCACCCTCTCCAGCTGCTGCTCGGCCTCGCCAATCGCCTGCTCCCACAGAGAAAGAGAGAGGCGTGGAAAGGAACAAAAGACAAGGCGCAGAAATGTCGTGGGGAAGTAGGCTTTGGTTGCACACAGCATAAGGGGGGAAAAACGTTTGAAAAAAAAGAACACCAGTGCTGGATGGATGGCTTTTAGTTTGCTTCTGCTACCGTTAGGTGATTTCGCAGGCATCCAGGAAAAAAACAGCTGGGAAGGGGTAAGGCTGCAATGTGTAACCGAGACGTGCAAAACTATCTGGTTTTCTCATGTGTTCATTCTCCCTCAATCAATTCCTAAAGTAAAGCTATCACAGATCCTTAAAAATGAGGAGCTGTTCTACAGTTACCACAGGTAACTGAATCAGATTGGCGTTACAGAGATTAAGCAGTACAGTGATGACTTGCTATAATCCTGGGCAATGTTATGGCTGCAGCTGGTCTTAATTAACCCCTCATTATCTAATTTCCTTTAGACACCCCTTCCTTCACTATTTAAACCCTCAGCTCATCCGGTAACATCGCTTGGTATTAGGATCTCTTCTGCCCTATGAGCTCACCTCGTCCTTTCCTCCTTAGTACCAGCTCTTCCTCGTCTGGAAGCCCTAAAACATCCACTCCTTTCTTTTGGTGTTTGGATTTCTCGCTCTTGCCTCGCCCTTATCGGATTTGTTTGCCTCTCTTCTTGTGTACCACCCGGACTTGACCCAGCCTGGAATAACCGACCACCCGACCTCTTCGCCTGCCTTGGATACCTCAGCTACCGGACCTCGCCTGGAGACCCGCACAGGGTTCGTAATTTACATAGTTCCTCACGGGCAGTAGCAATTCCACGCCACCTCTGACATACTGAACACTGTTGGCAGAGCCAACGCCCTCACCGGCAGTGTCAGCTGGGCTCGGTCCAGACCCTTCCTCTCGCACTTGTCATGCTCGGAGATCCTCTTGTTCAGCTCACAGTAAGCCTTCTGCAGCTGCACACAGCAGGAACACAACGAGAAAGGTGATTGCAGGAGACTCAGCGCATTGCCTAATCCCAGTACCTGCACAAACTAAAACATATGGTGCTAAAATGTGTTAGACTTTTGAATTCTGCATTGGACATTTTATAGGTCTGCTTTAGACCAGGAACATGCTGGCTTCTGTTTATATCTGACAATAGGGTTCATATACATGAAAGAAATACTTTCACATGCCTCACTGACAGTGCTGGGTAAAATACTTTTAAAAAGCGATGCATTACAGTTACAAGCTGCTTGTCTAACTTTAAAATAATGACTTGTGTGAAATGAAGCAAATGCAGTACTATTCAGCACTAAAAGTAAATATTAGCATGCATCTTTTTGTTTGCTTCCTTAAAAAGTCATTAAAACGTTGTTATCGATGTATCTATCTTAACACAAGCTAAGTGCAAGATAAGTACATTTTAAAGAATGAATGAAACGAAGGACAATAAACATATTCAATTATTTTCTGATGAATACCTGAGGCTTTAGGAAATAAACAGTCATGCTTCAATTTATTTTCAATTAATTAATTTTTTTCTTCAATTAATGTATCTTCCTCATATCTATCCTTTATACATAATCATTTATTATTATATAAGCGTTCCATATACACTTCAAGAAGATCAACAAACATCTCCACATCCCTTGGGCAACCTACACCAAGGCTTATATACACAAATAAACCCACTAATTAGACCGCTGTGAGGATGTGCATTATAATTTAATATACTAATTGCCTATTTGAGGTCTCTGAAGCCCTGTTTAGTGGTTTCTAGCAGAGACAACAATCCTTCAATGGGTCAACCTGCTGCAGAATATTGTGTAAAAGCATTATAAAAGAAATGTTTTTTCCCCAAGTATCATAGATGTTCTAAAAATGTTATGGTATACATTACTTGTGTCTGCATTGTGTTTAAAAAAAGCTTAACATTTCTGTAAGATTTTATATATTACCATACAGGGATAATCAGAGTTTTCCTGAACTCATTATTAATTAGGCAAATCTTATAGGAGGAATGTATGTTGGTTTAACGACACTTAAGCTGCTTATTTTATCTGTTATGAGATTTTTAACTTCCAACTAACACAGCAGAACACAGCTGGTCCTGAAAGGCATTAACATACAAAATATAAAACATGTTCCTAAAGTCTCCTGTTCACCTGCAGCTCTCACCTCTTTCTGACACCTCTCATGCTCTTTCTCTAGCTGCTGAACCTCAGATTTCAGCCTGTAGGGGGAAACAACATGTGTCTATGGTTTAGCTGTCTGTGACTACGACTACCTTCGACTTTATAAAACAGAGAAACGAGAAATCCTAAATTCCATCTTTCGGATGTCTGTGATTGAAAAGTTGAAACAATTGAAACTCTCATCTGCCACAAATTTTAAGTACAAATCACTTTATGTCCGTTTACAATACAAATGAGCAAATATGTATCGTACATGAGAATCGAGTCTTTTCTTATCGGTTCCCTTGAATTTTTTTTTCGTTTGGTTTTTTGTAACCTTTGCCATAAATGCCAGAACAGCAGGTGGAAAGTATACGTAGGTACAGTGGGTCTCACCGGTCAGCCTCAGCTTCTCTTTGCCTCTGCTCCTCTATGACTCTCCTCTGCTTCTCAGCCTCCATCTTCTCCAGCATCGCGTCTGTGGCCTTCAGGTCCCAGCCCTGCAGAATCAGGGCTATGCCATTCCCCGAGGCCACCTGGGAGCCCACAGTGCACACACACATACATTCAGCACCACCCTGGTATAATGAATGAGTTGAACTGTTTTCTTACTGCCTGCAGTACAACCAAAATCTGCCACAGTCAACAGCATAGTCTATTACTACATTAACATGGGCTTTGGCCCAAGTTATTCGGTATTTTGGTGTTAATGCTTGAGCATATTCAGACTTCAGGGGTTCTCTGTAACATTCCTCTCCTTAATAGAAAGCTCACCATCAAATACAAAGTAAATGAGTGGAATCTGTAAATCACAGGCAAATAACCAAGCAGAGCAATATATGGTTGAACGCAGCAATTAGACTAGTTCTCAAGGGAGACAAAAACCAAAAAACAAATGAGTTTTAAAGTCTAAATTGGCAGACTCTTTATCATTCTCACCCGGGACTCAAAATAATGAAGTCTGTGCTCTGATGGTTGACACGACATGCTTCTTCAGTTACTCTCTAACGTATTTCCAAGATACCTGTTCAGGTGTGCTGCCATCATCTGCATGTATTCTGGGGTCTGCTCCCAACTGTAGCAGGGTTTGGACTGCACTCAGGTGACCTCCAAAAGCAGCCCGATACAGGGGAGTCCTCCCAAAACCACCCTGTGAAAAACACACATTCATCTCAAGGACTTTATTAAGCACATGCCCAATTCTCAATTCTTAAGAGAAGCCAGCCCTCCAATGCTACTAGGAATTGTTACTATTGCACACCCCAGATGGGCACATTGCAGATATCTCCTTCAGCAAAGTACGTTATCCAGCGCGCTCCAGTAAACCGAACTGTAGAGACAAAGTGCCAACTTTGGATGTGCAGGTGATTGAAATGTATGTTGCTCTGGATAAGTGTCAGCCAAATGAATCAATTACTCTAATGGTGAGAGTCTGACATGAGACAACACACATTCAAGCTCTCTTGTTGCATTTATATTATCACGTTCTTCATTAATACGTAAGAGATCACTTTATTAGCCATATGCAATTTCTTGCATTAGGAATTTCTCTTTTTTCGCATACCCCAGCTTGCTCTCCATGAGACACAGAGGCACACAGACAGGGAGGAGAAGCTGGGGGTCAGAGAGCAGGGTCAGCCATTTATACAGCACTCCTGGAGCAGTTGGGGTTAAGGGCCTTGCTCAGGGGCCCAACAGAGTAGGATTCCTCTGCCAGCCATGCGATTTGAACCGGCAACCTTCCAGCCACAGGTGCAGGTGCAGATCCTTAGCCACAGTGCCACTGCTCCGCCCGTGTAAACCCATATGTAAACCATTTGTAAAGATGTAAAGAACCCTGTAGACCTTATACAGAGAAGAAACCATTGATCGGTGTGAAGGTCTTCTTGGACTCTGCAGCATATATTTAGCTGCTGGAGATTATTGTGGTGCGATTTAGAGATGGCCCAGTATCTGGGAAGAGACCAGTCCAGATGCGGGCGCTGGCCTTGCCTTGGTGTTAACGTCAGCCCCGCGCTCCATCAGCAGGGTGATGATCTCCGACTGCCCGCCCCCTGCTGCCTCCGAGAGCGCTGTGTTGCCGTGAGCATCTGTGCTACTGATGATCCGCAACTGACTGAGCAGGCGCTGCCGCCGCCCTGCCTCGTCAAACCCAACACCTTGCTTGGTCTCCAGGTCAGACACCTGGAGGGGAACCGTAAGACAAGACACAACCAAAGACAAAGCACCATTTACTGCAAAGAATCTGCAAAGCAGGTTTTCGTCTCAGAGTCAGTTATTCTTCACAGAGTCGGGGTTCAAGCGGTTTTTGTGTCCAACAGATATGTTTTGGGAAAAGACAAGCTAAACGTATCTTCTACAATTCTGCAAGCTTAAGAAATTGTAAATCTATTACATCCAATTCAAAGTTTTGCTGTAAAACTCACAATTCAGCTAGAAATCCAAAGAGATTGTGTTTTGCTACCAAAACGAAGCTAAAATATTTTTATATAATGTTAATCCAGTAATGTAAAAATACATTCACATAATTAGATAACATGTAGTAGTAAAAATATGATATAGAGTAAGATCACTGTAAAGTACTAATTTTCACATGCTTTTTGTAAGATATTAATGAATTAGTGCAAAGTCTACAACTTAGAGGTGAGTCTGTGTGGACAGAGGCTGCAGTGTACCGCAGCCTCTGTCCACAGAGCCGTGTCAAAGCAGAGCCTAACCTCCTTCAGCACAGCCAGGATCTCCTCTGCCTCACCCTCGAAGGCTGCCTCCAGCAGGCGAGTCCTCCTGCGCTGCTCCTCCTGCCTCCTCTTCCTCTCCTCTTCCTCCCTCTTTCTCTCCCTCTCTGCTTCTTCCTGCTCCCTGCGCACCAGTGCCAGAAATGCCTGCAGCACACCCTCACTGAGTGACTACCAGGTACAGACATAATCACACAGACACTCAAGCACACAGGTGCACACAAGCATCCAGAGACAGATTTTAGAAGCCGTCATACATAAACAGTCATGCCAAAGCACAGAGAACTGAAGTTAAAACTTCAGTTTGCAAACTATTATTATTATATTATAAGACTTTGAGACACACAAGTACACAGAAGCCCGCATACGAACACAGGCATGTACTGTATAAACATGCAATAAATAATAAAGAGGCATCCTTCAGCATTCTGATGCAGAACAGAGACTTTAAAAGAAAGAATGAACAGTCAAAGCAACAACTGTTTTCCATTGAAACATTTTATAGTTTTACATTCGGATCTTAAACAAGTTGGGTGACATTCTTTTCACAGGTTTGTATGCCACACACATTTTGCGTTCTTATGGGTTTAACATTTTGGATAAGTTAACATTAAATGGAGAGCTTGGTGTTTTGTCCTCTGACCTCTTTCTGAAGCTGGTCCATAAGCTCCTCATACTTCTTTCTCTCTCTTTCCCTCCTCTCTCTCTCCCCCCTGGCCAGGAGCTGTCGCACAGCACACTGGATAGTGACAGCAGCTCTCTCCTCTGGGCTGAGCTCTACAGCAACCAAAAAGACAAGACTGACAAATGCAGAGCTGAAAGGTCTTTAACTGAGTAACATGTTCCAGTCAGTGACACAGACCATCTTTCCCAAGGATTTCCATTCCTGCAGTCCAGAATGAAGATACAGCATGTTGCTGGAGAGCCTGAACCCTGGACATAAAGTATGTCATGTGCATATTAATCTCCTTTAAAGTGAAGATCATCGTCAATGGCTAAAGATTTGAAGTTATAGTGTTAATTTAATTTAGTTCAGAATCTCGTAACCAGAAGTCCCTGTGGTTTTGAACCCACTGGGTATGGAGGATGTAGATGGGTTAAATCTAGGCCATTTATTGCAGCCTGTTCAGCAAGAGGAAAGAAAGATGCATATTAGGTAAAATTCATGTAGAAACAGGATTGCAGACATTGCTGTCTCAAAGTTTTAGAAAACTTTGAAGGGTGTTCTGCAGAGAGGTTACAGCCACAGCGCAAACATGGCGTTTGACAAAACTGGGTCGATCCTTAACAAGGACAGCAGGTGGCGCTGTGCTCTTAACTCAGACCCAAAGAGCTAAAAGCACAACTTGATTCTTAAAGTCACGGTGAACACAAACTGACATGAATTTCTCTCGGAAATCTGGTACCAGGACAAAAACGTTCGGATCAACAGTTGCAAACCCAAGCACAGACTATAAAAATCCTCATTTTTATTTTCGGATGTGATGACATTAAACACAGTTCCTTATTTTGTTTTTCTGTGGCTTGCTGCAAGACACTGAAAACAAATAACTATGATTATGCACTTCTAACTAAAAATCAAGATTCTTGTACGTGCAAATGAGGTCATGGCATATCGTATTTAAATTAAATTAAGAAATATAAGGAACTGTTAAATAAATAAACATGCAGTTCTTTCCTGATTTACGCAGTATGTGTGCTTTTATCCCCGCAAGACTAGCGTACAATGAACACTTATAATGGTTTGATTGATTATTGGACCAAAGTGCCAACTTGTGTGCCACGTCTTTTTTTTGATGTAACGGAGCCAGGTTCTTTTCTTCGAAATGCAAGTGTTTTAAGGTACAAATGACCTCATACTCATTCCATGCAATTTCTGAAACGTAGGGCTAGACAGAGAGGAGATAAGAGAATGAAGGCAAAGTGAGTGAGAACACTAGCTCCACTGTCTGATGAGAACTCCCATCTGCCTGAAATGCAGCAGAGTGACATTTTTCATAGTGATGTCACGAATACCTCAAGATAAACCACCCCGCAAATTGAAGGTGTCCTTCAGTCACACACTAATTACAATACATAAAGTGATCATTTTTACCATTAAAATGCTATTGAAAAGACCAGGTTTGCAGTGATAACTGACAAGTCTCATGTAATTTTTCAATGCAAATCATATGTCTTATTCCTGTGTATAGATGAATTATTTCTACTCAATGTTTAATGCAAATTACAGTCTTATTTTGTATTGTTTCATTGTATGCCTATATATTTGTTTTTATTTTTTCTGTTCTTAACAAACAGCAAGCATGATATTACAGTATATCAGTTTTGTGCGGCAAACAAATATTAGCAAGGCTAGAAACTATATACTTTGTTTAAACCTAAAATGTAAAGCTTGTATTTTTCGAATTGTTTTCTGTATTTTTTAAACTGCATTTCTGAAACTATTCTGAAGGAAAGCATGAAATGCCAATATGCATCTTGGCACAAGCTGACAGGAATATGTTTCCTAAAACTGGTACCCTTCAGAACGTGTAATTGTCTTCTAATACACATCCTATAATCTGTTAAAAACACTGTGGAAACAGGCTGTCAGATCGTAAATTGATTTGGCCAGCAGCCATATCACCCTGCAACTCACAACTGGCAGCCCACTGAAGCTCAGCTGGTGTGAGCCTGGTCAGTAGCTGGATGGGAGACCTACTGGGAAAAACTAGGGTTCCTGCTGGAAGAGGTGTTAGTGGGACCAGCAGGGGGCGCTCACCCTGCGGTCCATGTGGGTCCTAATGTCCTAATGCCTAATGATGGGGACACTATACCGTAAACAGGCACCGTCCTTCGGATGAGACGTAAAATCCCAGGGTGTTTCTTTAAAAGAGTAGGGGTGTAACCCTGGTGTCCTGGCCAAATTTCCCATTGGTCTTTACCAATCATTGCCTCCTAATAAACCCCCTCTATGAATTGGCTTCATCACTCTGTTCTCCTCCCCACTGATAGCTGATGTGTGGCACACTATGGCTGCTGTTGCATCATACAGGTGGATGCTGCACATTGGTGGTGGTGCAGGGGAGTCCCCATTAACTGTAAAGCGCTTTGAGTGGAGTGTCCAGAAAAGTGTTATATAAGTGTAAGCAATTATTATTATTATTATAAATTTAACACTGTCTCTCTGATATTTAAGAAAGGAGTTGTAAATTGTGAAGCTGCAACTCTGCATGTAATAACTAGTTGATTATGGGGACATTTTCACTTACACAGCACATTTCTAGATTGTCATTAAGACACTGAAAGGAACACACCTGTTCCACACAACAGCAGCACAATTGTATGGGTGGCAACTCTCATATGACGTCCCATTTAAAAAGAAATCTTTCAGGCTTGTGCACAGTGTATTGACAGAGTGAACAAAAGACGTTTTTGGTCAAACATTTGAAGAATTTGGATTAACTGGTTGCTGTCAGTTACTTTAATTCAGGAAAACTACAAAAATAATTCTAAAACAAATGTTTGCAGCATACTGGTTAACAGTGCTTTATGATTTTACAATTACCACAGTTCATTTCATTTAGTGTAAGTTATACATTTAAAGATTACAGGTGATTATTTAACAAGAGTGTTAGAATCATACATTTTGATATAGTTTTCATCTCCATAGCTCCAAGTGCCTGGTGCATGTAAGTGATTCAGAACACGAAACCTTTTGTACAGCACCATGGATTTCAGTTCTTCTGATTTGCCTTTAGCATTTCTCATTTATCATTTAAGGGCAATTGCAGATAACAATGCAGCTGGATTTGTAAGTGTGTTTATTTTTTGATTAAATCCTGCCAGTTGTGTTTAGGCAAGATTCAAGGCTTTCTGATTAATAATGTGATGCATTTCCAAATATGGATTAAACATGTGGATTAAAGGCATTAAAATGAAGAATCTCACCAGAGCAGCAGCATTTCATGGTGACTGTGTATCTATCTGTAGTAGTGCCCTTCATCAGACCATGCCATACCTGACCTTCCCCTCGATCCTGTGTCTCCCAGTTCAGCACTGCTAGGAGTAGCTGGTCCTTTCTTTCCATCTTTAGTTTTGGATGGGCTTTTAGCAGCATTCTTAAGTACCGTGTTGCCTTTTGGTGTCATTTTCTGTCCTGGAGGTAGAAAGAGATATGGGTATGGGCACAGAACGTAGCGATTCAACAAGCAAGAGAGAGTTACAGAAAGTTTCCTAATGCAATCCAAAAAGTATTGTAATGTACTGTCAATGTATTGATAATTTTGAACAGGTAACCTATGTTGGACCAATGTTTTCAAAATTTCCCACAAATGCCTGGGTCTAGCTGTGATCCAATATAACGATGGTTTGCATTGGCCTAATGTCTGAGGGTTAGAACATCATTAACACCATTATTGAGCATCTTGAGAGTGTTTGTGGAGTACAGTTACACAGGGGTGTAGCTCTCTTGAGCACAAGTGTTAGCAAGGCTGGAATTAGTGAATCTGAGCAGCCCCACAGAAATAAAATGTATCAGGTCAGCAGATCTCAGAGTTCATCAGGGTAAATGCTGTGGGGTGTTCAGTAGGTTATGTGTGAATGCAATTTAAAATCTGAATGGTCAACACTACTGTTCAGCCAGTGACCAAGAACATGCAAACTCTACACAGACAGAAGTGGATTCGAAGTCAGGAGCTGTGAAGAGGCAGTGCCACTTCCTGATCTACAGTATAGTGCCAGCATTTATTGTACAATAATATTACTGTGTTCGTGAATTGTATTACTACACCTGATTCTTTAATATTTGTGTGTGACATCTTTTCTCAATGTGCTTTTGCTTTGATCATTCTGCTGCCTTCTGTATCTGCTTAGGATTTTTGATATCTCCTTGACGACATAAATTGTCCAATGTGGTAGGACGAAAAAACAATATACATGGAATGTTTATTATTAGCTGTATTCACCAGATTTGGAAAAATGATTTATTAAGTGTCCTTCTCTCATGTATTCAAGACAGCAAAAAATTAATAATCATGTATTTTATTTACTTTGGAAGAAGGTGCAATGAGGAAAATACCTGTTTTTTTGGTCTGGACTGGACCCTTTGCAGAGACCTTTCCCACCCCTTTCGCTGGAATTGCTTTGGCTTTGCTGGAGTTCATACCTACAGAAAATGGAAAGAAAATTCTTCCTGTCAATAAAGAGTTATCAGTCCAGGGCTTAGACAACTGTCACATACAGTGCAATACCCACTAACTAAAATTAGCAATAATACATCTGAAAAAATATTAGCTACCCTGACATATTTTACACCTATACATATTTTACAACGAGCAACTGCAAAAATGGTCTGGTTTCCCCCACGCTACTTTCAAACCCATGAAATAAAAAGCACTTCTTGGATGAATGTATGTGGTCCTGTCTCAAGTCAAAGTCGATGAGCTAGATAAACACGGCTTCGCTTGCGTCTGTTCCATTCTGTGCTTACTGCTGCATCGCAGTGATATTATCCGTTCTGTGTGTCAAGGCTGCCTATTTTAATATTGCAACGTACTGCAACATTCAAGACGTAAGGACGTACAGGTCATTTGCTCCGAAGATCAGTTTGCATCAATAATAAAACAACACAAAATGTATGTGATACATTATTAATTTATCATTTTCAAATAAAGCATGTTAACTATTTTTTAAAATAAATTTAATACATTTTGTGTATACAGCGTTATAATGTGATGTGAGCTTTTTATTATTTTTTTACTTTTAACACATAAAAAAAAGCAAAGTTAACATTGAGAAACACCAATACAAGACGCCTAAAATTAAGTTTCTGAGTGATAAACAAATATTACCTGGTGTTCTCTTGTCATACAAATCAATTGAAATAAAATACCTTTTGATTTTTACGCAAATGCATTTAAAACACAAACTTCTCCAAAGTTTCCGAAGCGGAGCTGGTGTCCATAGTAACTGCTACGTAGTAAGTGAGAGGGAGGGTGCCGCAGTGCTCGCACTGTGCGCAGGTTCTCAATTTTCGCTTGAAGCCTCTGACGTTCAGACCTGTATAGGTTAGTATTCATGCCTTCAAAAAGGATTTTCCGCATTTCCACTTATTCAAAGGGACTCCATCAAGACAAATTATTAGTCTTAATATTTCATTTATTTTGTCAATGTTTTTGTTGCAATAGAACGGTGTTAGAAATAGTGCTCAATTCCACAGCGCTCATCACCCGAGATCTCTGGAAGACCTTGATTATATTAAACAAGCGTATTAAAAAATGCTTTAACAACGAGCTCAGAGCGCTGATTTTATCTGGATGTCCATTACCCCCTGACTGTAGTTGGAGAAGCTTTGTCTTTTTTATTATGCTTGCCTTACAAATGTATTTCTTCCGTCTGCTGCGACTTTTTGTGTGAGTTGTCTCGAGGAGTCGATAATGTAACAACTAACATGACAAAAAAAAAAGAAAACACTTGAATGTCAGTATTCATGGGGGCTTTTTAGCAATGCGCAACGTTTCCGAAACACATTTTAGATGTATGTTTAATAAAAGCATTAATACGAGTTAATAAATACAAGTACTGACATGAACAATGTGGGCATAATATGCAAATATTGTATTTCGTGGCTTTTCGAAGCCATTGACAGGTATATTCACTACATTTTAAGAAGAATCTGTACTGTTTAGCAAAAGTTATTGCTTTCTTTAACCATCTACTAGGTATGTGTAAAATCTTAAGACGGCAAAACCTTACCTTAAAACCTTAAGACATGCTCAGCACCATAATATAATATACTAAGGTTCCAAATAAAAGCATTTTGGATTCCATCCTGACCTCTTCCTTAACCACTAAATAATAATAATTTCTTACACTTATATGGCCCTTTTGTGGACACTCCACTCAAAGCACTTTACAGGTAATGGAGACTCCTCTCCACCACCACCAATGTGCAGCCGCTCCTAGATGATGTGACGGCAGCCATAATGCACCAGTACACTCACCACACACCAGCTATCAGTGGGGAGGAGAAAAGAGTGATGAAGCCAGTTCATAGATGGGGATTATTAGGAGGCCATGATTGGTAAATGCCAATGGGAAATTTGGCCAGGATACTCTTTTCAACAAATGCCCTGGGATTTTTAATGACTACAGAGAGTCAGGACCATGGTTTTACATCTCATCCAAAGGACAGCGCCTTACTACATATACTGGGGCATGAGCGCCCCCTGCTGACCCCACCAACACCTCTACCAGCAGTAACCTTAGCTTTCCCAGGAGGTCTCCCATGCAGGTACTGACCAGGTTCACACCTGTTGAGCTTCAGTGGGCTGCTGGTTGTGAAATGCAGGGTGACATGGTTTGTAATATAAAACATTTTTAACTGAACTGTCAGTTTAGTTTGGGTTACATTTCAGTACAATTACTGTTGCAGTCCAAATTCCTGGGAGATGTATCTGAAACCAGTGCACAGTGTTTTAACAAAACATGTTGAAAACATGAACACTAAAGTACACTTAAGAGGAAAATGAGTTTGTACAGTAAGCCTTGTTTAAAGCCTGTCCAAATTGGCAGATCAGCTGTCTAGAGTGTAACCCCAGCATTATTTTTTGGATGAGTGTCATTGATGGAAGATGCATGGAATTATCTGGGCAAAGTTTACTTTTAAAGAAATTAGCACTCAAATAATCCTAAACAAACAAACAAACAAACTCCTGGAGAGCCCCAGTCTAGTTGGTTTTATAGGTTGCCTTAAAATAATTAATTTCTAAACCCAAGAACAAATTTAACTTTGATCAATTTAAATATGATCAACGGGTGGCGTGCTCAATTAA